CAATCAATGCTGATTTCCTTCCTTTCATATCGCTGCGCCAGCTATAGATCACATTGGATTTGTATCTGTAGAATGACTCATTCTGCCGCGACCACTCCTTCCGGTGCGGACTTCCACGCATATCGGTGGTCTTTCTCTACGTCTTTGCTCTGCACAATTTCTGCTAACAAAACCGCGGGAAAGCCGAAAACTAGCTCATTTGAAGGCAATATTTGGCGGTAATGAGTCACGGGTGACACTTTGAACCATTTTCAGGCCTGTGAGAAAGACGAAGGCGTTGAAACATTGTGCCGTGTGATTGAAATAAACCCACTTATCAGACCTGTGTGGCACAGAAGTAGTCAAAAGATATGAACATGCCCAAGTTTTACGAAAACGGAACTTGGAAGTGTTCGATATATTCTCTCCAGTTCTCAATGTTCCCACCATGGACTTCATTCCGTGCACGCTCTCCTTAATAATATAAACTTCAAAGACAGCTGGGAAGGTATAGTGTGGACCCCGGCCAGGTTCCCATAGGTACTTCCGCAGCGCGCACGCAGCGCGCGCCATTCTCAAGGCCTCTCGCCTCACTCATGAGCAGTAGAGCATATTTGTGCTCACAAAGGAGAAAAATGTAAAGTGAAAACCTATAGGTTCACTTCGAAAGAGACGTATGCAAGAATTAAACGCAGGCAACCTCCGTCCCTCAAAACCAATCAATGGATGCATTATCCGAACTTGCACTGATGAATAGGTTGTAATAAGTATACGTAGAGAAACTAAAGAACAACAGCATTCTTAAAACATTTCTCTTCGTAGACTTAGAAAATGGAGTGGTCAAAGATTTCAAGAAAAATGGACATTTCAGTGAACAAATGCCTCTTTGCTTCTCGGAAGGCTCAATTTTGAGTGAGACACTAGTTACACCTCACACATCAAACCGAAAGGGACTCTTATTCTATACAAGAAGCTTTTGAAAGAAGATTATCTTAATATCCAATCAAATCTCAATTTTTAAGAGAAAAAAGGGAAAACACAAGAAACTACACAAGACTGAAGCTCTTAGAAGTATTAGAGCACGTGAAATCTCGTCACCGGTCATCGCAAATTGTTTATACCTGAAATAGAGAGAATATAGTACACCAAAAACAAAAAAAAGAGAGAGAAAGGAGGATTTCCATCAGAAGCTAGGAAAGGAGACGCACTGAAGGCGTGCGTTGCGGGTGCGTCGCGCAGGTACCTATGGGAAGCTGGCCGGGGTCTACACTATATATGGCCTTTTGTGGGATTGAGACCATAGGAAAGTATCATCAATGGCATTGTTGGGAATGGATAAAAATAATCCATATATATATATATCCTTGATATTATTGACTGAATTAAAAGAGCCATACATAGTTGACTGCACGGAATCGCTCGGGCTGAACGCGCCGAGCGTGTCTCTTGGGGGCTAACATTGGCATTCGCGCGCATGAGCCATCATAGCGCCCGTACTTGGCAGCAGCGTCGCAGCCACGCTCGCGCGCAATCCGGAAAATCTGTAGGCGGCTGCGACCCGGAATTTCGCGCAGCCGATTCTACCAATCAATACTAAGTATTTCACCAAATTGTCCCAATCTGTGTGTTTGAAACCTCTCTGTGAATAAGCTCCGTATGTAGTGACTGAGCGAGAATCTATAGCGTGCGGAAAAATACTGTCCCTCAGTTTGCCTCTTAAAAAATCTCATAGATGGAGAAAATCTATAGTTTTTTGATTTCTGCATGTAGGCACAAGACTTTGTAGATTAGACTAAGATAGGTTTGATTCGAAAGCGATTTCTTAGGTTTATTTGAACGAGTGATAACAGCGAGCAGCTTCATCGACGATGCGCCGCACAGCGTTTGGGCACAATTTCGGACAGTAACTATACCACCAAAAGTGATATCAAGTTACAATTAAGGTAGTATGTAGAGCATAACCTCTTCTCCAAAACCTCTACTTCTTATGGATCAGATTTGAAATTTTGGCTGAACAAAGAAAATAATATCCCGAGCGAATTCCAGAAATTCACGAAAAGAGGCTAATCAGATCTGCTCTTGCTCAACGAATTGGATTCAAACTATGGTTCAAAACTCCAGAATCAAACAAAAGTAATAGGAATGATGAAAAGAGCATCGGGCTTTGTCTACTTCATAATTTTGAGTCAATAAACGATTGTATTTAGTTTCTGTGCCACGTCTGATCTCATCCCGTTGCGCCCCAGACGCTAATTCGTTGAGAAATTTCCCAGCTTTTCCCCTACTGCTCTGGCTACTTACAGCACATATCGAAGACACTACAGCATTTCTTAAGCAATGGAAGATTCCTCAAATCCACGCTGGAAACAAAAGAATTTTCCAAAAAAATCACAATTCCTTCAAACTTGTAAAAGGGAGTTGCAACGTTTGATATGTGGCGCTGCGAAAAGGGATCCGTCGAAGGGTGAGATTGCAGTATTTTTGAGCCAGTTCTGGTAAGATGGGATACATTCTCATTCTAGGAATTAGTCAAAATCACCAAGAAAATCTGAGAGTTACGCCGATTTTTTTGCATTTGTTTTGAGGGATAGTACTTTTTCGCACCCTGTAATTGTTGCATGATCAGTTAACCCCAACGGTGCCTCAACTCGAACCTTTTCAGTCAAATCCTCATCATTAGTTATAATCAGATCCAGAATATTATGTTCCAGTGTATGTAAATGTAGTTTCTGTGAGTGATTCATTGATTTATCAGAATTCGCGCCTTTTTGAGGCTGCTCACTATGTTCATTAATCAAGCGTGATCATTAACGGACACGACCTGGTCACAGACATCGGAGACATCAATCTGTTAATTACCTTGCTGCATCGAGCTTTCTTTAGCCCTTCCCCCTCTCTTTTCTGGAAGAGAGGCCCCTAATGAGATTTCTATCTTTTTAAAGAAAGTATTTCATCTGTGAACCCCGACGCAAGAGAAGAAAAGAATTGGTAACATAAGACGAAGATAACACAATTTTGAGAAGTTTATTTTTAGGATGTGGTTTGCCCGTTTGGTATGCCGAAGGGCCTGCACTCGATTCCCAAGTAACCAAAGATCTGGTTGGTACATATGTAATTATGATGACTTTGAAACTAGCCTTAGCATTTCTATGCGTAGAAATTCTTATCGCTACATCTGATCGTTTTCGTTCCATCCCTTCATTAGTTGAAGGGGCATTCGATGTAACGTCATTGCTGGTCAAGGCACGTGAACTTTGCGAAACAACATAAGAAAGCAATTTCTCATTTTCTGACTTCGAATATTCAGTTGATGATTCATACAGGAAATTTCGTTCTTCGCAAGATTACGTTCTACGAGTACTTCATATTGCTTCTTCCGCTAAATAGCAATACGTTCATGCACAAATTATAAAGATTCTACAAGAAATCAAACCCTTTCAACGTATCCTTTTCGGAAAGCTGAGAACACTCGATCTATATATGCGACTGGGCATTGTAACAGCGTTAAAAAATAATAAGACGCTAGATATTGTAAGTTGCAGCTCGTTAGCCACCTGTAGAAAAGTGCACTTCACAAGACTAGTGCTAGGCGCAATATGGACATACGCGAATGATCTCCTCTGCAAGAATTCACTTTCCAGTTTTATCAGGTTGCTGCATAAGCTCTGTGTCCGAATTGAATTTTTTAAGCCCAAAACGTCGTAACTTCTTCCAAAGTCAACTTTTTTCCATGATCTTAGTTTCTATGTGTTGAGCAGTTCCTTGGCTATGAAACACATTTTGAGATCTGCGCAAATTCTTGTTCAGGAAGATGCAAAAATGCAAAAACTTCACAGCGTTTTTCTTCAAATCTGTCTTTTGACATGACAATGCTCCCCTTGTGAACTGATAGATAAACAAACATCTTATCTAACAACTTGTCTTCTGTAATGACCAGCGCATCACTTCTGCTTCGCGGAGGCTCGCACTGGTCAACAGAAGATATAGAGAATAATTACGTTTTAATTGCTTGTTTCCCCACATTATTCTAAAGTTACTTGGAGCAATTCCTTTAATTGAAAAAGAACCACCCTTGCTATTAGATATCACATGCTTCAAATAGTGTGAATCCTTCCTCACTGTAATTTCGTAACGCACAAACTCCACACAGCTTCAGATCAAGCGGCTTATTATAAGTCATGATGGATAGATAGAGAAATTTTCGTAGATTATTATGCAACATAAAAGAGCCCATAGGGTCTGCGATGCAGAGAGATTTTTTTGACCGAGCAAAAAGAAGCCACTTTTTGGCCTCACTTCGGCACATGTGTGCATGCCTATTTACGAATTATGAAAACTTTACAGCTGACGTGAGCGCTGTAAAGGAACTGGTGGATGGGCTCTGCTAGCTCTTGCTTTGCCCTAACACCTCCAACTTTGAGCTTATCGATCACCTATTCGCAGAAAGTTATTGCTTGTAAAACATCTATGCAAAAATTTATATTCGACGATAAATTTTACTAGCAAGCGTTTTCTTCATGGAACCGAACTTCTGCATATACTAGGCTTCTATGGCCTTATTCCGCAGCCAATGAAAGAAATTGACTTGAAAGCACATTGTGGAGATTTCCTTGCAAGAACATATTTCTAGGGTGAGAACGTACCTCGGCCACTTAGAAATACTAGGCCTGAAATCTCCGTACACTAAGAAATTCATTGAAGTCTGACATGCGTTAGAGAGAGCAAGGAAAGCACTTTTCAATGATACTAATAACACTGCATCAGAGATGAAATTGGAACAGCTTGATTCAAAAATAAGGCAAAAAAAATCAGACAGTACTTATGCAGCAACCTAATACATGGCAAGTCTTTTCTAGACAACCTTTTCAAAATAATGTGTACAAGAACGAACATTCGTCACTAGACTGTCATAATGTGGTCACTTTCGACCGTGTATGCAAAAAGCAAGAAGAACACCAATTTTTGCGATACAAAAGATTTATGCAATCATTTCTCACACAAAGGTCTCACTCGTTCTATTTTCAGTACTGAAGTAGACATACGGTTCTGGGTACACCGACAGAGCAACCAATTTTAACAGCGACTTTAGATACCATGCTCGTTTGCAGCTGCAATAGGGTAGTGTTTCAAAGTTGAAACACGAACAATGAAAATAAACTGCTGATTGCTTAAATTAGATGTAAAGGAAGCAGTTGCTGTGACAATCACATTTCAAAATGGAAGAAGCAAAAAGCCATCTGATTTAGCTATGTGAAAAATGTGAAGCAACACCCGAATATAATCGAGCGCTCAGCATGCAAACTAAGTTGTTCTTTTTCTGAATAAGTTTCCTCATGCCTTTCGAAATTCCGGACGAACGGATCTACAGCATAAAAAGGACTATGCTTCTCAAGGCTATGCTAAGTTTGCTTCCCAACTATTGTGAGCAATCCGTTCTCGATGAGTTCTGCCATTGTTACTGGACAAATGACCTTTTCCTAATTTTATTCAACCAAATTTAGCAGTCAATGCTTGTGCGGCTTTTTCAAAATAATATTAGTTTGGACTTCTAATTCAAAAACCGGTAAAGGAAGGCGATTTACAAACTATAAGATTTTATTTGTGTCTGCAAACTATTCCGACATTTTGAATCACGTTTTCCGTACGTGAAATATAGCATTCTTGCGCTTTAGGTCCTTACGCTCTCACCGCTCGCATTTTCAAAAGTAGGAAAAGGGAGTTTCCGCTTTCTACAATGTGCGCAACCGTAAAAATCACCAATTCGCTCCAATTCCAAGAACCCACCTTTTCATTCGCTTGTTTCACTCTCTGCAAAAACGTCTTTGGAACATTAATTTTCGATTCAGTGGAATGAGGGCCCAGCCCAAACATCCTGGAAGTAAGCTGAACTTCGTTTCAAGGAGAAAAAAGCAAAAAGGTTATTCTGAGGTATCATCGGCCAATGATACCTCAGATTAGATTCGTGTGGAGGTGGAGGTTCTTGCCAACTCATAGCGTAGCGGTTTTTGCTAGCGAGAGAGTACGAAGCAATGCTATAACGTGGAGGTTTAACAAGTTTATATGTGTTATCAGGCAAAGTCTGCAAAACACCTCCACACGAATTTGGAAACCGCTCATATGTTATGCGAGCATATAAGCAACCACGTAGACAAGCACACGCTTCAAATAAGTTACTACACGATTGTCAAGCACTGCCATGTTCTTTCAAGCGCGAGCATTCTGAATGCGAAGCCAAATTGACACTTGGGTTGTTCACAAAGACAAGCATATGACATCAAACCAGGGTACGGCACAGTGCCTTACAAGGCAGGATATCGTTTTGAAGTATGAACAAAGGGAATACAAAAGGGATCTTTGCAGTGTCTGGGTGGATCAAAAAAATTTATCACCTGGTGTGTTGTGTATGAATGAAAATCGCCAATCGCGTCGCGAAGCGGAGTCTCGGGAGTGGTGAAATTTCAAGAAAACGATTTTGAAAACTCCAAGAAAAAGTGTTGAACTTCATGCCCATCGACAACAATTTGCAGCCCTCTACTTGACAAACAAAACTTGTCCCCTTGCCATTGTCACATTAATCATACGCATACATACTCTGAACTCAAGCCCTCACACTCTCTCCCCATAATCACCCACGTCCCTCTTTTATTCCATCTCCTCTTCTTCTGCTCATCACCGCCTTACCGATTCCATTCTCTGGAAAAGCACGAATTTCGCACCTTCTCCATGCAAGCGCGGAAGTGCCCCGAAGTAAAGAAAAGACTTGTTCACAGCAAAGAGGGAATGATATGACCCAAGAATTGGTGTGTAGATGCTCAGTAGAGAGTTGGAATTTGTATGAGAAATTATGAAAAAATCATATGAAGTAGGGCGTGGCAAACTTCTTTTGGAGTTAGTTGGCCAGCCATTTGAACAGCCACTGAGGTGGTGGAAAGAAAAAGTCATATATTTCACTTTCTTTGCAAAATTTTTTCATGCTTTTTACATAGTACCAATCTACATCCAAAACCCTACAAACGAGTCCTTAAACCTCCTTAAACCCTCTCATCCCGCCTAATATAGCCCTTCAAAGTTTTTGAATGGCGGCGGCAACTGTGCTCCAAGCGCGCGATTGTGCGCGCTAAACACAGCATGCGGGCAATTTGAAGGATACGAACACCGCTATGTAGGTTTTTTATCGTGTGTTCGATATCGCCTTAGTCTTTTGCTTCTTATTCGAGTTTGGTTCTTTCATAGGCGTGTCATAGGGGATGTCGCAATTTTGTTATGAGTCAACGGGGACTTCATTTTCAAAGAATTGCCAAGGCTACCTAGTGCCGAGCTTGCCTCGAACTTAGACTGTATACATAGGATGTCATTTGAAAAGTGTTTTGTAAAAAGTTATGAATACTCATGTACGTATGGTCTTTGCAAAGTAATTCATCAGTTCACTATTTATGAACTTTTCATGACGACTTCCTTGGTCAAAACTCTGTCGTCAAAGGAAGTGGGCTGCGAAAATTGCGACTGAGTTGTTCATCACATCGAAATACTGGATTCAGCGCATCCCTTTTTCACCTTTAGGATGCACTGAGTAATCTGCTTGAAATTTTTCGAAATTGTCAAAAAAAGTGTTTTTGTAGCGTTTTGCGGCCATGAAGATCGCTGAAGGGCTGTATTAGCGATTCTCGCCAACTGAGGCGCTATTGGCTGCCTGAGCCAACACTACTTGCCGCCAAAATGAGTAGGGTGACTCCACCAATACAGTCTCTTCCCGGGGCACTGCCTTTGAGCATAAAAATCGATTCTAAACGTCGCTCCTGTCTAGACTGAGCAGAAGCGATGATAGGTAGTGAGCTCCAAACCACACACTGCACACTTGCGGTAGAATTTTTGTCATTTTGTTCTCTTTCCTCGTTTCTTCCCTACTGCCAAATGCGGCCTGCCTGTATCTGCTTATTTCGCTCATACTTATTCCGACCATCGTTAGCGAGCCAAGATTCAATTTTACATCCTGCTTATTTGTCGAGATGCCATCAGTGTAGGCGTCGCTATGTAACAAGCGAACTTTGTACAAAAACATGGAAAATAGAGGGGGACTTTGTTACGAAAAGGGCTAGAGACCGATACTTGCTGATTCCGACTGTACAGATTGATGAAGTGGCTCGCTTAGAGTGAATGAAGTTGTAACATACTTGTCATGCTCGTCGTATCTGCTTTCAACTTTTTCGAAACCATTTTCTTGGAGGATTCCACGTGCCGCGTATTTTGAAGCGAAAAAGACAGTCCAGCAGTCGGATTTCTAAAGTTTTGGTTTCAAGAAGTTATTCTGATGAACGACGAGAAGAACGAAACTTTGCTCGATTACTGCTGGGAATCAAAAACGCCTTGCTATGCAAGCCATTATGAAATTTAAAATAAGTTGTAATGTATTTGCTAAAAATTTACAAAGCTACTGGAACAGTTTCATTCTTGTTTTGTTCGTACGCGCAGCTCTCCTAAATCATGAGACAAACTGTGCAAGCATTTGCTTGGATATGAAAACACTGACTACTAAAATAATTTCTAGTGAAGACTATTTACATACCCTTTAACGCAACTGGATTGGCGGCTGGAAGGCGGGTTTCGTGACCTATTTAAGTTTAGAGAATTATCAGAGAGCACGCGCGCGAAAAAGACGCAGACTGTGTGTAGGCGCGAGCTGCCTCAATTAGGTTACAACGCGCCGTCTTCAAGCCGTCGTCAATCCAGTTGAATCGAAGGTTACATACCACTCCAGGAAGGCGAGTCTGAATGTACTCGGTTAGAAGTCTGTCCTTAGTTGGTGGTTTAGGAGGACAAGCAAGTGACGTCAAAACGGGGGCAACCTAAGACATATTTCGTTGTGAAAAGCGACTCAAAGAGAACTCTGAACTCACAACCAGAGCAATGCAGAGGAGTTTCATGTTTGCTTGTCGCCTATGCAGCGTCGAACAATTTATATGATTACATAACAATGAGCGGTGGGTCGACTACGTTTTGATATCGGACGACAATGCCTGGACACAGTTACGAATCAGTTTTGATAATGAGGGGTTGCCCAATCATTTTTCAGTCTACACATCAACAAAAGAGTACTTTTTTAAGCAAAATATTCATTTGTGGTAATTACTTAATTTTCTGAATGTACTCTCAGCTATTGTTCATAATTTTATCAATGAAACCCTCAAATGAAAATGATTAGTCATTGAGGCATCAAAACAAAAAGGCACAGGAAAGTTTAAACTTCATTACGGTTGTATAATTCCTAAAGTATTAAGTATTATTTCGGTGCGAAAGTTCTGTCGTTTCATTTACAAAATTCGTTACTTTTCGCGATTCGAACAAATTTTCTTTGCAGTAATTTTAGTGGAAAGAAGTATTACTTTGCAGAAGTACAGTGACCGCCAAAAAGTTGCGGACAAACCCCTCTCCCTTTTTCATCACTCTCTTTCAGAGGGAAAACAAGGATGAAATAATGTAATAATTGCATGAGGTGATAGAGCTCTTCAAGATCTACAATATACACCTTAAGCTTTTTGAGAAACATGTATTCTAAAAATTTTAAGAATCTTTTTCTAAAAAAAGTCCGAAAATGGCCGCGTCACAATGTCGCGGACAATAATTTTTCGAACGCAAAAATTTTCTTTTGAGTCCTTCTTTGAGGCGGAAACACAGGTTATCCGGACGGGTAAGCATACTACTATACAGAGCTCGTCAAGAACTACACATTGGTTATGGTTGCTTCCCCAAAAAACGCAAGTTTGAGTTTTATTTTACTTTTACAAAAAAATACTTCTAATTTCCTTTATCAAGCCAAATTTCTTCACATGGAAACCTGTTCAAGACATCCCAAGAAAGCCGTCTGGGTAAAATAGATGCTCTTGCCATCCTCTATGCATCGGACATGTGCTGATGAGTTTTTTTTGCTGAAAATGGCCCTTGGCAGTGCTTGGACATGACCCCACCTGCACCTCACCACTGACTTGTAGCGCTTTGCAGGCTTGTAACTCGGCCTGCAGTCAATATTTGAGCTTGCAATTAGGCTCATTCGAAAGAACGAGACTTCCTCTACACGATGGTATGCAAATAAGTTGAGTTTGAGAAATTTCAGAGATTTGGCGGATGGGGTGAAAAAGTGCAGCCTTAAAGGTGATTGGAGTGAAAGCTCGTATGAACACCAGAACAGTCTTAAAGCTTCGAAATGGATCTATTACAAGAAAACTGACAGTTTTGAACTTCCAGGATGAAATTGGTAGCGAAAGGAGCTCTCTTCAACTTTAGCTGAAAAGTGCTTAGACTACAACTGAAGCTGCCCTTTACCCCCCATCCGCCAAATCTCTGAAATTTCTCAAACTCAACTCATTTGCATACCATCGTGTAGAGGAAGTCTCGTTCTTTCGAATGAGCCTAATTGCAAGCTCAAATATTGACTGCAGGCCGAGTTACAAGCCTGCAAAGCGCTACAAGTCAGTGGTGAGGTGCAGGTGGGGTCATGTCCAAGCACTGCCAAGGGCCATTTTCAGCAAAAAAAACTCATCAGCACATGTCCGATGCATAGAGGATGGCAAGAGCATCTATTTTACCCAGACGGCTTTCTTGGGATGTCTTGAACAGGTTTCCATGTGAAGAAATTTGGCTTGATAAAGGAAATTAGAAGTATTTTTTTGTAAAAGTAAAATAAAACTCAAACTTGCGTTTTTTGGGGAAGCAACCATAACCAATGTGTAGTTCTTGACGAGCTCTGTATAGTAGTATGCTTACCCGTCCGGATAACCTGTGTTTCCGCCTCAAAGAAGGACTCAAAAGAAAATTTTTGCGTTCGAAGAATTATTGTCCGCGACATTGTGACGCGGCCATGTTCGGACTTTTTTTAGAAAAAGATTCTTAAAATTTTTAGAATACATGTTTCTCAAAAAGCTTAAGGTGTATATTGTAGATCTTGAAGAGCTCTATCACCTCATGCAATTATTACATTATTTCATCCTTGTTTTCCCTCTGAAAGAGAGCGATGAAAAAGGGAGAGGGGTTTGTCCGCAACTTTTTGGCGGTCACTGTATTTTGGCGAGTTTCGCTCGAACACTGCTTGCAGAGACAAATTATTTAGAAAGAAGATTATTCAAGCTTCGATCATTTTAGGTTAGGCTGCCAAAAATCCGAAACATTGCCGAAAATTCCGAAACTGTTAGTAAATTTTTATTGCCTACTTTTTGCAACTCTGAAAAGTTTGTGCTGTTTGGTCTCTTTATGAGAAGTTACGAATACGTGTTTACTACAGAAAGAGGCAAAATTTATCAATTCGTCGCTTTTCCAAAAATCATAACTTCCCACAGAAACGTCAAAAAGACGCAAATTCTTCTCGGTTGCAAAGAGCAGGTGAAAAAAAAAACTCGTGTACTGATGATTTTAGATTTTTCTGCAGCGTCCCAGAATGATCAAAGTTTAATGTCTTCTTTTTCCATTTTTATCTTTGCTATTGAAAAAGAAAACCCCTCAAGACGGTACTCGAAAGCGGATGACTCCTTCTTTCCAACAAAATTAGAAACAGGCGAATCCCTCAAAACACCGCAAATTTGCAAATTTTTGAATATAAACAGAACTTTTCAGCCCACCTAACAGTTTCAAATTTCTTCACTTTTTGCCTTGTAAAATCTGGCGTCTCCAAAACACTCTCTTAATGATTCTGCTGGCAACATTAAGAGCACCTTTACTTCTTTTTCTGATGTCTTGGAATTGATTTATATTATAGTACAAGATTTCAGGTACACCAGCGCAAGTAGCCAAAGGGACTTTTCTCTACATATTCATGAAATACTAGCTTGTCTACAAAGTCTTTCCACAAGAATGGTTTGCAGATAAGAGTGTAAGCTAGCGCAAAGAAGTTGTTATTCGGATGGAGTTTATTGCTTGTCAGCAACAATAATGAGTAGTAACAGTTTCAAACTTCGAGGTTGAGCCGTTGTTATATAGTCTAAATAAACGAAAAGGAACCACCTAGAAATGAGCTCTACGTACATCTCCTGCTATATAGCATCTGAGAAGACTGACATTCTGTAATTAGCATTCATGTATACTCAGAAACAGCTCTTCTGTGTGCACATGAATAAATAGGAAAACGGCGTTCTTTGTTAAAGAAATTTCCATCTCCTTGCTTATACCTTCGCAGATATTTCAATTTCGGCAACCTTAACTACCAAGTATGGCTTTTAAACCCTCTGAGGAAGCACGAAGTAAAAATGGACGGTCTTGGGACTAAGGAACGATTTATATGTTGCTCCTCCCTCATTTGCCTGCGAGTGCGTTAAGGTGTTGGGTATTGATCATTGCCAGAAACTTGCTCATACCAACAGTTCATAAAAAGTATACGGCATGGATGAAAACATTTAGACATGCAGATTTTCCGGAACAATTGTGCTTTCTTTCTGCTTAGCCTTTTGAAACTTAATAAGGATAGCAACTGACAAAACATTAAAAATAGAGCCCAAAATCGCATGCCGAGGGCTTCAGAAATACCTTTTCCACCAGATGCTCTTATTCAAAACAAATCTCGTTTCAGCTTCTTTTAACCTTGACTGCAGATTTTTGCCCATATTTTTGAAAATTTACAGAGCACTTGGAACCGAAAATTTTTATAGCTGTCCTAACTCGAAATCGGAGCGTAAATGTGCCATTTAAAACACAGCGAACACCCTATAGTAGTGATTTTACGTATGTCACCTTGATACCGTGCAATTATTCGGAGAAAATTGGTCAGTAATTAAATGGTCGTTGCGGACATATCATGGCATTCAGTCAAAAGCATTTTCAATAAGAGTAACGCAGAAATAAAGCCTCGTTCTTGCAGAACAAAAAACTCAGCTGTTCGGTTCATGGGCGAGCAAAAAATTTAGTAACTCAAGGCATTGAAGCTTACTGGAACAATTCAAGAGCTAGAAATTTTGGTTTTGCTTTCTATTTGCATATCTCTATTGCCCATTCCTACTGAAACTTGCACTATGGCTTGCGCTAAACGTGAAGGGTGTTATGATTTGTTAGAAATCGAGTTCCATGGGGTTGTTTTTCTTTGCTCATAAAACTCTGCTGTTCGAGGTCAGGGCCCGGCAGGAGGTGGCATTTCAGAATTTTGAAAACGATATCCCCTTTGAAGCCAAAATTTCTTACGACTTCCCCTTTGACCCTATTCTTGACCCCCGTAAGTCCCTGACAAACAGATATACACAAATAATAAGATGGGCGACGTCAGCGCTTATTATAGTGGTACTACCTGGCTTTCCTGGTCCAGCCCGGGTCGTCGAGGTTTCAGCTCAATGGGTTCATCCGCAAAGGAATCTATAAAAAACATAGGGTCAGGATTTGCACAAACTTTGACGTGTATATATCTAAGATACTACTCATTTATTAGTCAGCTGCGAAACTTACAATTTACAATAACCGATTGCGATTGGAGCGCGCTTTCCGAGGCCGATCATAGCGCTGTGAACCCTATTTGGGGCTGTATCGAAGCGGTGCCTTGGTGGTTTTGGAAGCGGCTTTGAACATATAGTGATACTCTCGACCTAGTCCACATTTATGTAAGAAAATTCGGGAAATTATGTAAAGGGAAGCAGGGAGCCACCCCAGGTGGCTCCCAGGTGGCGCGGGAGCCACCTAATTTCGAAAAACACTTACCATTTTTTAAATTCACATAAGTTTCTCATAATTCTTCATGCTTTTTCTGTGCTCATGGTCCTCCAACTGCACAGCAAATTTGGTGCCATATCGTTACTTGTGCATTGAAAACGAGCCTATTTTGTTATTTTCCTCTTACAAGAATTGCGATTTAAATTCCCGCCTGCGGGCAGGCTAGCGATCGGAGCACAGAATTTTCACATTGCTGGAATCTAAGTTCATAGGACAGTAACATCAACAAGGAATGATGAATAAAGTA